GTATAATTTTTTAGATTTAAAATTTATATAAATACTTAAAAATCTTTACTTAATAGGTATTAGGTAATTTGCTAGTATATATTTGTATATTTGGATTAAGAAAAACATAGACCTTATATGAGTTGTCCTGATTGTGTGGCTTGTGTGTTTGACTTAAAATTTATTAATTATATAAGTTATTATTGTTGTATGTGTGATTTTTTGTTTAAACAAGCCTTACTTTATTTTTATTTTTATTTTATTATTTAATTATTTTATTTTTTGAAAATTATTGCCATTATGTAGATGATAAGTTTAATAAAAATATGTAAAATTTCAATTATATAGATACATGCAATAAATAAGTTAAATAATTTAGTTAAGTAGGTTAGATAAATTGTTTTGAACCTTTATATTTGTTTTTTAACTTAATACTTATAAATTTACTATTTTTATACCTATTATTTTTTTTATTTTTTTTATAATTTAAATATAATATTTATCTAGATAAATAAAATACTTATAAACAATAGATATACTCATAACCAATACTTACCCTTAATTGGTAGGCAACAAAAAGAATTTGTTGAGTCCAAAAATAAAATGGTTCAAAACAAATGAACCCAAGCCCTATAATACATGTCTTATTATTGTTTTCATTTTACTTTGGTGCATTTCATGAGAAAGAGATAACCCAAAAATAAAATTTAAAATTATCACATGAAGAACAGCTCAACAATAAAGCAAATAGTTCTTTCTAAGCTATGGACATTGGTCTTAAAGTGTCGTTATCAATCAAATCTATTTTAAAGTGAGAACAAAAAAGGCCAATATCTGGAGACCCGCGAAAATGCTAATCATGTCCTTAATCCCCATAAAGAGGATGGAAAATTGAGGCAGAGGGGCCACTTGCAAAAACAAAAAGGCCAAACAAACAAACCTCATTGACCTTGACTTATGTTCTTCAAACCCGTTTTTGCCCTTTTATATGATTCAGCCTTGTCTTCGAAATCATTACACCTTGCAATTTTAATTTTTCCCCATTCATTTGAGAGAAGGTAAGAATATTTAAAATTTGTCTTTTTGGCTTGGCTGCTAGATACATTAAAATTATAGTTTTTTAAATTGATAATTAATAAAATAATTAATATTATTTAATAATTTAACATAAACATATAAAATGATATTTTTATATACTTTAATAAGTTGTTTAAATAAATATCATAAATAAATAAAATCAATCAAATTAAATATATAGTTATTTCTTTGTGATAAATAAGTACTTTTTTTTTTGTTCCAATTTAACCATCACCCTTTTTCCCATCATGATTATTGCAAAATTACAAAATTTTGTAAAGGTATCGTTGTTACATGTTAAAATCTGATATTAATATGTATTGGACTTTTATCACCTAAACTGTTAATTAAAAAAAAAAAAAAAACTAAACTCGTTAACAAGACGGTTGTTTCGCCTGTCTGAGCTAAGTAGATAATCACTTGCTCTACAGTGAAAACATTACCCCAGAATTGATGTTTGATCCCCTAGAGATCCCTTTCCCATCCCCCATAGCATAGTAAAAATATTTGTCAAAAATTATCCTTGTTCAAAGAATAAAAATTATAACGAGGAGGTTTAGAAGTGTCCTATTTCAGAGGAGTAAATATTAAGTTCGGTTAAAAGTAGTCATGCATACCCCGAAATTTTTTAATGCATTATTCAAAAAAACAATTAACAACTAAATATTTGTGAATAATGCATTAAGAAGATCAGGATCTATGTCCTTAAGGTGATTTTTTACTACTTTGTGTGTAGCTGGCAATACCCCGAAAACACTAGGATTCACTTTTGCAAGAGTATAAGGATCCAGAAATGTTCCCTGAATCGTCTAACTTAGCCAGTGGTGGGTCGTCCCTTTCTTGTTTTCTTAATACATGACGACAGGAGTATATGGTACGGTAAATGGATTTATCAAAGTAAACGAGTTTTATGTTTGGAATGGTTATAATTTCTAATTTTTATAAATTTTATAATATTAAAAATTAAAGATAAAATAATTAATAATTTATTTAAAGAGTTTTAATATTGACAATAAAAAATATACATTAATTTAATATTATTAAAAAAATTTTATTTATTATAATATGTAAAAACATATAAAAATAAACATATTTTTTATTTAAATTTATAAAATTATAAAAATCAAAATTGAAAACTAAAAATTACAATCATATTAAACAAAAACTTTAATAAATTATGTTTTTTAAATTTAAAATAACATCTTTGACTTATATATGTTAAGTTTATTTGAACCCTTCGCTTTGTCCGACCTCCAATCATAGCGAGAGATGTTTTACAATCAAGGTCGCACCTCGAGTTCATAGGGTATTCAGCTTGTCTGAGCCCTTATTGGTCCAATCCTGGTCCAATCCCCCAACAAAGCCAAGGTGACTCGGTCTTGGACATGATATTTTGGAAGCGTGTGAAAATTCCAAAGGAACTTGGTGTGTCAACTGTCAAGTTATGTGTATTTCTTTTTCTGAAAGGCGTGTCAACTGTCGTGCTATACCTTAATTAGCCCTAATTATCAGGTATTTTGCTGAAGTTTTCCAAATTTTCCGAGATGAACTAAGAGCAAAATAGCACAAAAACTCACGCCCTAACAGCGATGTCATTCCCTAGCTACTAAGATATGCGTCCTTCCTGGGTTCCACAGTAGCTAAAGTACTGCAGCTTCACTTTTTCATGACCAAAAATTTCAAATCATGTCGGAAATCATTCTCCCTTTTTTGGACGTTATCACTCCGGAAATCATTCTTATTAAATGATAGGCAATCTCCTGTTTCGCTCCCATCCCATCAGGAGACAGTCAATTTAGAAGCACTCTTATTTTTGCTCATGTGGGTCCATATTTTGAAAATGAAAAGCAGCATCCAACCATTTTTTTGCGTTGAACTAGAATTCCTGAATCATTGCAATAGAAAATACAAAACAAAATAGTGTGTTTTGAACGAAAAAGCAATACAGCATCTATTTCTTTCAATCTTGATGCCAACTCTATTTCCACATTGTTGAGTTCTTTCATGCTGCTAAGTGAAAGTAATCGAAAAGGATGGAGAGGAAAATCATTACGAAAATTTCCCTGAGATTCATCTTTGTGTTCCCTTTTTTGTTATACTCTTGTGCTGAAAATTCTGCAACTTTAACCAGATTAAGAAGCATTAGTGATGCCAAAGGAGATATACTTATTTCTCCTGGAAAGAAATTTGAATTGGGTTTTTTTACTCCCGATGGAAGTTCAGGGTACAGGAGATATCTCGGAATTTGGTATTATGGTTCAAATCCAAGAACAGTGGTTTGGGTTGCAAATCGGGATAAACCCATTTCAGATGACACCGGAGCAGTCGTTTTCTCCGACGATGGTGACCTAAAGTTGCTTGACGGGAGTGGGGAAGTTTACTGGTCGACCAATCTCGAAAAGTCATCAAATTCTCTGAACAGGGAAGCTGAACTAATGGATTCAGCGAATCTGGTGGTGAGGGAAGAAGAAGGTCAGCCGGCGACAGCGAGCATTCTCTGGCAGAGTTTTGGAAACCCAACAGACACATTTCTCCCCGGAATGAAAATGGATGAAAACATGGTTTTAACTTCCTGGAAAGGCTCCGATGACCCTGCTCCGGGGAACTTTACTTTTCGGCAAGATCAAGAAGGGGTTAATCAATTCATCGTTTGGAAGAGATCGACTAGGTACTGGAAAAGTGGTGTTTCGGGAAGATTTATCGGTCCAGACGGAATGCTATCGGCCATGCCGTCGCCGATCACTTACCTACTGTCAAATTTCACCGCCCCTGTTTTACACAACGAATCCATGCCGCATCTTTCGTCGGAATTGTACAGCAACACTAGGCTGGTGATGAGTTCCTCGGGAGAACTTCAGTATCTGAAGTGGGATTCTGCAAAGATCTGGTCTTTGATCTGGGGCGAACCCAGGGATCAATGCAGCGTCTATAATGCTTGTGGGAGTTTTGGCATTTGCAATGACAAGAACGATTTGATGTGCAAGTGTCTTCCTGGGTTCGTACCAGGCTCACCGGTGAACTGGAACGGCAGGGATTTTTCCGGTGGATGTACCAGGAAGTCGAGGATATGCAACAAGAATGGGGAGACTGACGGTTTCTTGAGATTGAATATGGTGGAAGTGGGAAATCCAGATACCCAGTTTAAGGCTAAGAATGAAATGGAATGCAAATTGGAATGCCTTAACAACTGCCAATGCCAGGCTTATTCATATCAAGAAGCTGATGATGCTGCACGGCTCAGTGGGGGCAGCAGCGGAGCAGCATGCTGGATTTGGTTGGAGGATCTCAACAATCTTCAAGAGGAGTATGAGGGCGGCCCGAACATCTATGTACGGTTGGCAGCTTCTGATTTAGGTACAATTTCTCGCTTTTTCACAAAATTGAGCACTTTGCAAAGTACATTATGAATTCTTTTCTAAGGGGGACTACATTTAGAATTTGTCCTGTTTGAAACAGAGGATTTTGAATTCTAAGCTGGCAACATTTACTTTGTGTTTTTGTTTGGAACATATTTTGATTAATGGAAAAACAAGCTCGGGAAATGAATTTAATTTTGTACTTATGCAGAATCTAAAGGAAGAAGTTGTGAGACCTGTGGCACAAGCTTGATCCCATATCCCCTTAGCACTGGACCAAAATGTGGTGATGCCATGTACCTCAGTTTTTATTGCAACATCACCTCTGGTGACCTTACATTTGAGGCACCTGCTGGCACATATAGAGTGACTAGCATAAATCCAGAAACACGAAAATTTATCCTTCAGATGAAGCCTGCTGATTATTGTCAAGATGGAAATTTAAGATATGAAATCTTCCAGTTCAAGAAATCGTCTCCATTTCATGTTACTAGCTGGTGCACTGCAGATGAAGTAGAGATAGCTTGGGATCCTCCTCCAGAACCAACCTGCTCTTCCTCTGCAGATTGCAAGGATTGGCCAAATTCAACTTGTAATGTAACTGGTGAAGGGACGAAAAGGTGCCTTTGTAATACAAACTTCCGATGGGATAGGCCTAGTTTGAACTGCACTGGAGGTAGGAAGTTTAATGCAATTTTAGGAGCCTTTTTTTTTTATTGAAAAAAACAAATCTAAGATTGAGATTTTTACATTTACTTCTGCAAAAATGACACTTGTTTCCTCTTACAGAATATTATGGTGAGAAGAGATATGGGGTTTCAGGTGGGAAGATGCCTATATCTTTGATCCTTGTTATAGCTTTTCTAAGTGCAGTTGTTGTGGTCATTCTATCAAGCACCATAGTTTATGTATACCTGTATAATAGAAAAATGGCCAAAGGACAAGGTAATTGTTAATATGGTAAAGGTATTCTCTTTTTTTTTTTTTTTTATAAATATGTAAAGGTTGATTCTGTTGGTTTATGTTTTGAATTCAGGACATTGGGGAAGCATTCAGAGAAACTCTGCACTTCACTTGTATGGCAGTGAGCAACATGTCAAAGATTTAATTGATTCTGGTCGGTTCAAAGAGGATGACACAGACGGCATAGATGTACCATTTTTCCATCTGGAAAGCATACTAGCTGCTACCAATAACTTCTCTAATGCAAACAAGTTGGGACAGGGCGGATTTGGTCAAGTTTATAAGGTAGAAAAACATATCTAATGCTTCTCATTTGAGATTGAGAATTCAGACTTTCCATCTTTTGTTATGTCTAAAATGCCAAATGCTGAATGTGGGACCATACTATCAGGGTAAATTCCCTGGAGGACAAGAAATTGCTGTAAAGAGGCTCTCAAGTTGTTCAGGACAAGGCCTTGAGGAATTCAAGAATGAGGTTGTACTGATTGCAAAACTTCAGCATCGGAATCTTGTTAGGCTTTTAGGCTATTGTGTTGCAGGAGAAGAAAAGATGTTACTCTATGAATACATGCCTAACAAAAGTTTAGACTCCTTCATATTCGGTGAGTATTTAGATTTTAATCGCTACTATGTTTCTGATTGCATGTTGTTTTCTACATTTTAATTCATATACATAGAAACTAAAACAGTCCCTGCACCTTGCAAGATCGGAAGCTGTGTGTTGTATTGGATTGGAACATGCGCTACCGCATAATTCTAGGAATTGCTCGAGGGCTTCTGTACCTCCACCAGGATTCAAGGTTAAGAATAATCCACAGAGATCTGAAAACAAGCAACATTCTGCTAGATGAGGAGATGAACCCCAAAATTTCTGACTTTGGGTTGGCAAGAATATTTGGAGGCAAAGAAACAGCTGCAAACACAAACAGAGTAGTTGGAACTTAGTAAGTTTTCCTTAGACATAATTAGAAGGCTGTGTTACCCAAGTGACTAACACTTAATCCTGAGTCTTTATCCTAATAAACTCGTGACCAACACTTCAGCTGACATAATTAGAATTTACAAGTGTCATATCTCATTACATTTGTAGATATCTTCCCAACAATCTGTGGGTGGCTTAACACAATTTTCACACTGCAGCGGCTATATGTCTCCTGAGTATGCACTGGATGGCCTTTTCTCATTCAAGTCAGATATATTTAGCTTTGGTGTTGTTGTAATTGAGATCATAAGTGGAAAACGAAACACAGGATTCTATCAGCCTGAAGAATCATTGAGCCTTTTGGGATATGTAAGTGTTCTTCAATTTTATAAATTGGTGCAGTTTGGATGTTGGGTGCAATGTCATATCCTTTAGGCCACTGATCTTAACCTTTAATGCATTGCAACATGCCAGGCATGGCACTTGCGGAAAGGGGAGAAGGGATTAGATCTGTTGGATGAGACACTGCGTGAAACTTGCAATGCGGAGGAATACCTGAGGTGCCTGAACGTTGGCCTCTTGTGTGTACAAGAAGACCCTGGCGACCGCCCCACCATGTCAAATGTTGTATTTATGCTCGGCAGCGAAACAGCCACTCTTCCTACCCCAAAACAACCAGCGTTTGTTGTCAGGCGGTGCCCGTCTAGCAGAGCCACTTCCTCTAGCAAACCGGAAACGTTTTCGCAAAATCAGATGACAGTGACTTTGGAAGCTGGCAGATAGTAGAAGGGTTAAATTTTAGAAGAGGCCAATTTTAGTTGTGTACCAAAATGTTTCTGTTTTTGGTTCTTATTGTATCTTAACTGTATATCACTTTACTTTTCAGTTGTGGTTGGAAAATTTTGCGTTTGTGTTGGGTTTGTTTTGGCCCCATAACTGGAAATTTGCAAACTCCAGATTCATCCTTGGTTTACCTACATGTTATTTTCTACCTTATCAACCTGGAAATATGAATGGTAGCGAAGTAAAGAAACAAAGAAAACCGAGTCCGGTTGGTACATGATAAATGAGCATTAGCCCAAGTCCATTTACAAGTTTTACAGAAACTAGATGGCTTAACCGGAATTAGACAACTTCTGATATACCAAGAAAAGTGGCAAAAGCCTAGTTTGAGTCCCTCACCTTATCAGGTTTGAAGATTTTAGTTTTTCACCTTATTTTGTTTTATAATACTTTTAACCGTTCACCTTATTTTATAATATTTTTAACCCCTTACCTTATTAGATTTATAGATTTTAGTCATTCATCTTATATTATGACACTTTTAGTCCCTTATCTATTAAAATTAAAGAAAATAACCCTCACTTTGTAATATTTTGTTAGTTTTGTTAACTGACTATTAATTTTATTATTTGATTATTAGTTAACTATTAACTGACAAAAATCTTTTTTCAACTAATAGAGTTAATAGAATTAACTTTATAATATTTCGTTAATTTTGTTAACTGACTATTAGTTGACAAAAACCTAATTTCAACTAATAGAATTAAATAGTCAGTATAAAGTAAGAGTTATTTTCTTCAATTTTAATAGGCGAATGGCTAAAACTTATAAATTTAGTAAGGTAAAAGGTTAAAAGTGTTATAGTATAAGGTGAGAGGTTAAAACTTTCAAATTTGATAAGATGAAGGGCTAAAACCAGGTTTTTGCTAAGAAAAGTATTCTCAAACAACACAAGAAGACTATCTCAAACAGTCAGCAAGTAAATTGGAAAATGAAATTCTCAAACAGCAACACCCAGAAATTAGGAATTCAGCCTCACGAACGAAAATTAAGAGCCTTCTTAATCTTTTGATTTGGCATTATCCGCAAGCCAATTAATAGCCGATCGAGTCAATGTTGGTTGAGTTCTTGCAAGAAATCATAATGCAGCGAACTTCTCGGCCAATAATAAAGTCTAATCCCCTGCACACAATTACCCCATTTTCAGCACCAAGAATATACAACAATGTTATGGTTTGATCATGTGACCATTGTGAGCAGTTTCAAGTTCAAACTTTGAGATGATAGAGTGGGAATAGATTTTCTTTACACTTCTCTATCACGGGATATAGACAACAAAATAAGGGTTCTTTATTTTGTAGTCCGGTTTGAAAAGTAGGAGCTATTAAATAGGAGGATAATTTCCAATATTAGGGACTACCCTCATAATAAGTGTTGTGCAATTTAGCAAAATTTGGACCACACATACTTTTTTTGATAAAATAACTATCTTGACTGGACTGTAAAAATTCCCTCAAATGCATCATGGGATTGGAGGAAACTGCTCAAACTTAGGCAGTAGACTAGGGGCTCATCCAACATATCCCAGGAGATGGCACTGAGATTCATTTGTGGCGTGACAATTGGCATCCTTCTAGTTCGCTGGTAGAAACTTATGGTAAAAAAAATTATTCAAGATGCAAGCATTCTGTCCCATGCCAAGCTTGCTGTGGTGGTTAATAGAAATTATTGGAAATGGCCGCCAGTACGTTCCCCTCAGCTACTAGACATTCAAATAGCACTTTGTGACTGATTGAATCCTAAAAAGGGGAAAAGGATGGTGTGGTGTGGATTTCCGCAGCTTCTGGTTCTTTCAAAGCAGGAAAAACATGGCATTGGATAAGAAATAAGTAAGCTAGAGTTCCATGGCACAAATTAGGTTGGTTCCCTCAGTCAATCCCTAAACATAGCTTCATTTGCTGGTTACTGTGCTGGATAGATTAACAACTAGGGCCTAGCAAAGTATATGGTCTCTGAACCTGATTGACGCTTGTGTATTGTGCAACAATGACTCAGACTATTGAACATCTTTTCTTCAAGTGCTGTTACTCAAGAAGGGTCAAATTTTGGGCAATTTGGCAAGTGTTCCATTAATCGATTCTTTGCAAAGGCTTTTAATGTGGGTGGGAAAGTGGATAAGAGGGAAATCCTTGTACTGGACACTTATCAAGTTAATATGGAGTACTACAATCTACCATGCCTAGATGGAAAGGAACAAAAGAATCCATCAGCAAGTTTTTAAAACAAAAGAGGCAGTATGTGAAGAAGTACAATTTGATGTGAAACACAGGATTTTCGAATTTGCCGAGTTGAAATCCTCGTCTCTGCCAGTGTCCATAGCAATCATTTGCGGGATTGAAGTTGTTGTGTAAAGATAGTATAGTTTTATATAGTTTCTGCATTTTATTCTTTGTAGCAACAATAAATTGCTGCTTACTTTTGTGTATACAGTTATTGGATAAATAAATTCACCTTTTATCAAAAAAATTTAAAAAAAAATCTTGATTGAAAAAAGTATGTATCATATAAGAAGTTTTTGTCTTACATTTGTCCGGCCGAAGCCCGTTTTGACAGAGCTCCCGGCTTGTCAATCTAATTCCCTAACAACAGCAGAGGAATACCGGTAAGTGAGGGCTTGCTAAGCAAATTTTCTGGCGGTGCTAAGGTTGTTAAGATTAGTTGCATCAACCGCAAATCTGCAGGAAACATATATAGGACATAAGAACTCAAAGAAAATTCACCCAAATATTTGCATTGGCGGATTTTAGAGCAATTGAATTCGGAAAAGAAAATTTTTCTGAATGAAAGTGCCATACGCACAGAATAGCAGATACACATCACAGTAGTATGGCGATGTATATGCGTTTTGGGTGCTGCTTGTACCCACTAAACAATTTTTTTTTTTTTAATGATAAGAAAGAAAATTCATAGCAGTATCGCTCCTACATGTAGCGAGACTTAGGTTGACCTGGAAGATCCCAAAACTTTATTCTAACATCTTCTTTTGTGACACTTCTTAAGCAGCACTTATTCTGAAAATATATAAGCCTTTAATTGATGCACTTTAATTTATAACAGAAATATTAATCTCAACATTTTAGGTTCTTCCTATTCTCCATTTGCAGCTATCTATTGCAATATCAATGCAACTCACCATAGGGACCCAACAATCAACTTTAGCAGTTTCAGTTTGATTTTTTGACTTATTATTAAATTTTAATCTAAATTTATGTCTAAAAAAATTAAAAGACTCAAACTAAAACTACTAAAATTAAATGAAGTAGATTTCGACTATTTTATCAACTATAAGGTAATAGTTTTAGTTATAAATTATTTATAACAGTTAAATCAAATCAAGTCTTAGGCTCTGTTTGGTATAACAGTTTTGGGGTAACGGTTAGTAGTTTTACCTAAATTACTAAATATAAATATTTGGTAAATTTATATATTTTGAAATTGTTACAAATAAAGTGTTTGGTAAAATTTTTATTTAACAATTTGAGACTAGTGGATAACGGTTAGGATTCAAACCACTAGCAGATTGAAAAAACTAGTTTATATAACTTTTTATACTAAATCGCTAGCGGATTAAAATTTTTTAATTTTATTGACAAATTTGTTCATTTTAATTTTTTCATTTGTTGTCACATTTTTTAATTAATAATTATCTAATACATTTCAATTTTGTTTTTTTACCTTTAATAACATTAAGTGATTATAATATTTTTTGACATTAATTTATAATTAAAAAATGTATTATCTTAAAAAATAAAATTTGTTAATTAGACAAAATGATTAATTTTTTATTTAAAAATAATATAATTTTTTCTTTTTTAAAAATAAAAGTGAGGGTATAATTACATTATTATAATTAATTTTATTTATTTATTTATTATTATTTTTTATAAAATTAATAATTTTAATAATAAAAAATAATTTTTTTTAAAAAATACACTTATTTGTTTTTGAATATGTCCTTTTTAATTATTTAATGTTAAATAGCAATCGTTAACTATTATATAACCCAATAGTTATATTTATCGAATCCACTATTTACCATTTGCTATTAACTTTTTGCTATCCCTCATCCGTTATCCGTTAACCGTTATCTGCTACCCGCTAACTGCCACCTGCTACTCGTTACCGCTATCCGCTGAATTTTAACCGCTGTACCAAACAGGCCCTTAATCTATCTAGTATTGTTACCTATTAAATATGAAGAATGATCTATTTATACATAAGTTTTATATATCACATTTACACAAAATCTTGACAATTCATTTTTTCATTTTTAATGGTTAAAATTTATTCACTTTTTATTTTTTTAATTTAAAAAATTATAATAAATCTTAATTATTAAAAATAAAAAATAAAAAATTAAAATTTTATATAAATATAATATATAAAATTTACATGTAACTAAAATTTTTAGTCATTACCTGTTATTAAATTTTGTTCCACTAGAAAGCCCAAAAACATGAAATTCCCTAGAATTACGTAAATATTGAGCTTTAAGCGGCTCCAAACCCTAAAACTAATAAGGCCCAACAGAAATCTAACATAAAGTCTTCGTATTCGAGTCCCAATACTCTCTTCTGGTGTTTGAGCAATGGGTAAGATCTTGGGCCTCATATTTGGATTTGGGTTTTTTGAACATCCGGTACTTACAGGAAACTTGCTCAATCTTTGGGCAAGGGAAAGATAAACCCCAAAGGAAAGGCAATTCCTTTTCCTTGAAATAAAAAATCAATTGACAATTTGTATTAGATTTATAAGTATTGATATTTTTTTAAGCTTCAGAGAGTCCAATGGCTAACACTGTAAAAACAACAATTTTCTTAAATGTATTAGCTCCAGTTGAGGGTGCATGATTAATATTGTTAAAAAGAATTAGTTTCAAAATACATGTAAATATATTTAGAGACAACCTAATATCCAAAAGAATCAATTTATAATATCTTTGGGTTAAAGAGTTATGAGTATTAGATCAATATAAAAATTAACATACATAATTTACATAAATAAAACTTTTAATTTAATGATCAATTTTTAAAAGTATTAATTAAAATGTGAATTTTTTGATAAATCTTGTAAAAATATTTTTAAAATGACAATCTACTTTAGA